TGCCGGGCCTGGGCGCGGGGGAGCTCAGTGGGGCGGCCCCTGTGCACTGGCCGGCTGGCCCCAGGGCGCGTTGCCCAGCAGCCCAGCTCGGGCCCGTTCTCGTGGGCATGGGCAGGGCCAGCCCCCGGGCAGCACCAGCCGGGCACCCGTCCTTGTCCTGCCCCCGCATCGGGCACACAGGATCTGGTTGGCATTAACCTGGCTGGTGTCCACTGTCACTGGGGACGTGGGCTAGGAGACTCCAGCAGCTGGGGAGCGGGTCCCAAGCCTAGGGTGAGGGGAGCACGGCTGCCACCTGCCCCAAGGTGACAGGCTGGCAGAAGGTGCAGCTTGGAGGTGCGCAGGGCTGCTTGGGCAGGGCGCAGGCCCGGGCCGTGGCTCAGGCGGCCGCGGGTAGGGCCTGCGAGGGGGGCTGCCCAGAGGGCTGCTCAGGTACGAGGACAGCACGGGTAGCAACCTGGCCCAGCACGGTGGCGTAAGGCTGTCCTCCCAGCACTCTGGAGGCTGAGCCAGGAGGATCCCAGCCCAGTGTGCACACCCTGCATTCCTGCCCCGAGCGAAGGTGTCCCCGAGGCCAGGCAGCCCTGTAGGGCTGACCATGGCCCTGCCCCGCCAGGTCAGCGCCAACGGCAATGTGCTGCGCAGCGAGATCGTGGGCTCCATCAAGATGCGGGTGTTCCTGTCGGGCATGCCAGAGCTGCGCCTTGGCCTCAACGACAAGGTCCTCTTCGACAACACGGGCCGTGAGTGCTGCCGGACACGTCATCACTGCGGGGCTGGGGCGCACACGCGGCCCGGGATGGGCACCCGCCGCTTTCCCTCCCCAAGGCAGTGTGGTGTCGGGCGGGTCGGCAAAGGTCCCCTGGGGTCCAGGGCGGCCTCCTGCTGGGTTGGGCCGGGCCGGCAGGGCCACCGTGGTCACCAGTGGGTGGGGCCCGCCCGTCCCCAGGCGGCAAGAGCAAGTCGGTGGAGCTGGAGGACGTGAAGTTCCACCAGTGCGTGCGGCTGTCGCGCTTCGAGAACGACCGCACCATCTCCTTCATCCCGCCCGACGGCGAGTTCGAGCTCATGTCCTACCGGCTCAACACGCATGTGAGTCCCGAGCCTTGCTCCTGGGCCGCCCGGGCCTCCGTGTCCCGCCCGGGGCCGGGCGGAGCGGCTGAGCTGTGGGCCCGTCATCCCCGCAGGTGAAGCCGCTGATCTGGATCGAGTCGGTGATCGAGAAGCACTCGCACAGCCGCATCGAGTACATGATCAAGGTCAGCCGCCGAGGCGCAGAGGGGGCGGCAGGGCCCGGGCTGGGGCAGGACGCGGGGCCGCCTCCCAGGCCAGGGCTGGGCAGG